AAAGTCTGTTTCCAGCGAGGTTACACAAGGTTTGAAGCTAGGGTCTTTCCTGTTTCAGTGCATATTCATGATTTGGACTTAAATGTACAGAGTATGATCAATAAATTTGTGAATGACATGAAAATTGGTAAGGTGGTAAATAAGGAGGAAAATAGTTGTCAGCTGCAGGAGGATATCAACAAACTGGTCTGACAGCACCTTGCAAAGAGGAATGTTGGTGTGCATTTCCACAGGTCTCTGAAGGCTGCAAGGCTGCCAGATAAGGTGGTTAAGGCACAAGACATACTTTGCTTTATCAATCAAGGTATAGGTTACAACAGCATGGAGGTTATGCTGGAACTGTAAAAAGATCACAACTGGAATACTACATGAAGTTCTGATCACCACATTATAGGGAGGATGTAATTGCACTGGAGAAAGATTTATCTGGGTACTACCTATGCCGTAGGATCGAACCGGTGGAAAAAAAAATTGGATAGGCTACGACTGTTTTCCTTGGAGCAGTGAAGATCGAGAATGGATCTGACAGGTCTAAAGCAAGGCACTTTTTCCAGTAGTAATCAGGTTAATAACTAGAAGACCATAAGATATAGGAGCAGAAGTAAACTATTCAGCTCATCAAGTCTGCTTTGTCATTCAATGAGATCTTGGCTGATCTGATCATCTTGAACTCCATTTTCCTGCCTTTCCCATAACTCTTGGTTACCTTGCATATTAAAAATCTGTCTATCTCAGCCTTGAATATAATTAATGACTCAGCCTCCACAGCCTACTGTTGTGAAGAATTCCAGATTCACTGCCCTCAGAGGGCATTCCTCCTTTGTCTTAAATGGGTAATTCCTAATTCTGATATACAGGTCCTAGTTTCTCACAAGAGGAAAACAACATTTCAGCGTCTACTGTGTCAAGTTCTTTAAGGATCTTATATGTTTCAATAGGGTCACCTCACATTCTCCAATATTTCAATCAGTACAGGCCCAATCTACTCAGCCTCTCCTCAAAAGACAATCCCTCCACACTTACTATCAGCTGAGTGAATCTCCTCTAGATTGCCTCCAATGCCAGTATATCTTTCCTTACATAAGAGGCCCAAATCTGTTCACAGTATTCCAGCTGTGGTTTGACTCGTCTTGTATAGTTTTAGCAATATCTCTAATTTTATACTGCATTCCCTTTGAAATAAAGGCCAACATTCTATTTGTGTTCCCTAATACCTGCTAAACTCAGATGCTAACTTTTGTGATTCAAGGACGAGGACTCCCAAATTCGTCTCATGTCACCTTCTATGTATTTTTCCATTTAAATAATATTTAGCTCTTCTATTCTTCCTGACAAAGTGCAAAACCTAATTTTTTCACTTTATATTCCATCTGCCAAGTTTTTGCCCACTCACTTCACCTGCTTATAATCGCATCCTCACCACTTGTCTTCCCACCTATTTTTGCATTATCTGCAAACTTGACTAGAATTCATTCATTTTCCTCATCATTAACATATATCATAAATAATTGTGGCCTTGGCATTGATTTCTGTGGTACACCTTCAGTTACAAGTTGCCATCTTGAAAATGGCCCCCTTAGCCATTATATGTACCTTACTTAAAACTGAGCCTTTTGAAACTCACTCTGTCCATTTTGCTATTACTTGCAAGTTTACCCTCAGTTTATTTTCTCTGTCTTTTAAAACCCAACATAATATGATCAAATAATAATAAACTTTACCAGTCCTCTGTTGTACCACTTACCTTTGACAGACTGTATGATTTTTCTTTCAATTGATGCTATCTTTAAATTCCCTGCTTCACCACGGAAGGGAGCTTATCCATTTCCTAGAATCCTCCTTCCTCACTGGAATATGTTCTTGAAGTGAGCCATGAACTATGTTCTTCAATGCCTGCCATTGTCCCTTAACTGCTTTATGCTTAGCACAGTAGTTTCTGATCCAAGTCCCTGCCTCTCAATGTTAACTGAATGTTAAAATTTACCATGCTATGGTCATTGTTTGAGGGGATCTTTTACTTTGACATCATTTATTAAATTTGCCTCATTACACATCAGCAGATCCAAAATATACTGACTCTGGGAGGTGAGGGGGCATGGATTTATGCCAAGAGGTAGATGGCTAAGGGGAGACTTGAGGAGAATGATTTTCACTCAGAGTCATAGGATCTGGGAACTCACTGTCTCAAAGGGCTGTTGAGTCAGAAACTCAAACATTTAAGCAGTTTCTAGATATCCACTTGCATTGCCATAGCCTGCAGGTCTACGAACCAAAAGTTGTAGTGTTGTCAGATCTTTGTTGACTGGTGCAGACACAATGGCCAG